GTCGGAATCTGTTGGTTTTCCCAGCCACATATAGCACGGATTGCGAAAACGTAGTAGCCAGGCGGGAAGATTACGGTAAAAATAGTCGCCGTAACCGTGCTAGCTCTGCTGAAGACTAGCGCGAGGATAGCAAATATCATAGCAAGGAATGTAGTTGCCACAGCCGCAAGCTGAGGACTCTTGCCAAAAGGAGCTGCGACGAAGAAGGACCAACTGGCAAGCGAGAATCCAAATAGAAGGTGCACACCAAGCACCAGGCCAACATTAGTACCGCTGAAAATTCGGTAGTGCCAGATGATAGAAACGACCACCCATGCGGGAAGATATGCTAGAGAGATGCTAATATGCCACGATCTGAATGCCATAAGTAATCAGGGACATGCGATGCATAGCGGGTCCTTTTGAGCAGTGACGCACGCTATTCTGGCAGTATCCAGTAGACCCATAGCCTTCATGTGACTGGTTAGAAGGTTGGCTCTCTCGCCGGTGAATGACCCCGGAAGATGATACGCAATCCCGATATAACAAATAAAACTGATCCCCAATTAAAGTGGTAGGATTGTGAGTTGATGTGTTGGACTCACAATGCAATGACAATAAGATTTCGAATGCCTCTAATGAAACCTGAAACAGGAAAATGTCAGTATGTAATCATAGTACCATGAACGTAAACGACGTACTAAGTCTCGTATCCGTGGCCTGTTGTTGGTTGGTTTCCTGACTATATGGCCATTCCATAGGAGTGAATACTTCCTGTCCAGATCTAAGCTCGATGATTGCCTGAGGTGAATCATTAACACTTTGAAATGAAAAGAGAGTAAGCGAATGTGTTACCTGGTCTAATGCCCATTGCAACGGCAGAATACGTGTCTCGAAATCACTGGTATGACTGATGACGTTGATGTAGACAAGACCACCATCGGCACTGATGGTGTAGTTGACTGGTTTCGGATCCGTGGCATTCATTGGAAGGTAATTGAACGCAATACCAGCAAAGCACTGAGATGTCAGGTCGAAGTTTTGTGGACATTGAGTTGGTATGTCTGCGGGTGTCGCAACCTGCATGACCGCTTGAAGTTGATTCGACGTGAAGTTACTGGTGATGTGCGCCATGACTTGTTCCGCAGAGGGTGTTCCAGTACCATTGGTTCCATCAGCCCAGACTAAGGTTAGAGAGCCGTCGAACTGATCCTGCAAATTGTAGACCGAGATCGGAGAGCCGAATCCATACTACAAGGACGTGAGACGGCGGACTCGAATAATTTGGAAATATTCTTCACATTATTTGGCTTTAAAAGGAATGTCTGTGCGACCGCGAGGAAGACTTTGTAACCGTTGTGAGGATGTATATTCATGAAATTGAGAGGGAGCTAGACGTACTTCCGTATCCGATCGGCAACAACAAGCAGCGCAGGATGTTCAACTATGGCATGGTCAGGGTGGTGAACGTTCCGCAGGCATTATTTTACTCACGAGCGGATGTTTAGAGAGAACGATCCAATTCTTCCAGCACAGTATTGTAAATTGCCGGAGGAACAGACTCCCCGGAAACGCCATGATTGCCGTAACAGAAGGGATGAGGAGAGTTCGAAGAGAGGTTATATACCTCGAGGACGCAGTTTCAGGGAATACGCAGCAGCTGGTATAGCAATCTGGATTTGTCCATTGCAACACACAGGAGACGTTGCCGCATCGGTACCTATCGTGAGACGCGGAGAATTGGAAGAATTTAGAGTTAGAATGTTACAAGCTTCCCCTTAGTAAGTATAGTACTACTGTAATGATTGAATATACAATCGACGTACAGATCAGATTCTCCTCTAACATTCCTTGGTGCTCGTCCGAGTCGGTTCTATCGCCGTCAAGTACTGGTAAGTAACTTGCAGTCTGAACTAGTATTTCATTCAGGACCATTTGCCGCGTGGAGTGTTGGAGGCGGCGTGCGAAGCCAGTCGCATTTTTCTTAGCCTTGCTATGTTAGTATCCATCCGCGCCTAGTGGGTTACGGGCAGACATGTGAAGACAGGAGAAAATCACCGGTGACGTACACAGCCCGTTCTGCCTTCCGTCGGAGTTCAACCGCTTACTGAAATTACTCAGCATTTTGCACTTTACGCCCGTAGTCAACCTATAGTACTTTGAGCGAAGAATGCACTTAATCATTCCTTCCTCGCAAGTTGATGCTGAAGCGCTGACCGGCCGACTACAATGATACTACATTGACTCGGTTGTGTCAAATATTCAATTTGCACCGATTCTTAAATCGAAGGACATGCCGTGTCTGGTCAATGTGACAAATTTTGTATGAAGTTCTGTTTGTGAAGGCCATATATCTACCAAAACTCTATATTTCCTACAATTCAAAATTAAAATAGGCAGAGTTGAGAGACAAAAAATAATACCTCGAAAGTCGCGTTCGAGTATTCCCTGTAATGCCAGGACACAGGGCTACAGAAAAAAGATATGTACATGTCAAACAAGGGTGACGCATTTACTTTTTTTGAGTGACTGGATACCACTAGCCCAAATCTATATGACAGCTCCAGTGAAATGGTTGCTAATGCTATACCAGATGGTGACGCTAACTAGGAGCGTTCAATTACTTTACGTCCGATGCTTTTGGACGTCGCTTTCGACTCACCTAATCGTGACTTCAGTATGATAACACGATAACGCGCTATCTGCGTGGTTTCATTCTTCCGAGTCCTGCATTGTCGCCTTTTTTTGGTTGCCGCCACTTCTTCATTAGGGATCGGAACAGTCGCACAGCGGGGTGTCTCACATCGCGCCTATATGCATTCCCGCGGTATTTTCTCCCAAGAACCGCTTGGTACTATGTGGTACATGGATTGCAGTGATACAGTGCCCACTGCTGTCACCTAGATCTAGTCTGGAATATTCTTGCAAGCAATCAAGATGCGGCTTGACATCGGATGCGCGTTCCAAAGGTCATGTAAACTCCACACAGTCGATATGGCTATTCAGGGGGATGAAAGAGCCTGTGAAAATAAGGAAGTTAGAGAAAGGAACGGTCTGGGCTATTAACTGGGCCTCGGATAACATGTGAGTAAATTGAGGACATATACATACAAGGCTGCCATTGGTGTGCCTGGCACAGAAGTTCTGCTTGAACTCGGGGCCGCTAACTTAATATATAGTGCGCGTTGGTTGTGATCGGCATCGCCTGGCGGCAGGAATCAAGAATACTCCTAAATCGTGCAAAGTGCTTCGCTAACCACCTTGCGGAGGTCCTGGAATGTGGCCTGGATGTCTGACAGGCCTTCAACGTACTCGCCTAGAATTCAGAAGACGAAGGCTTTGCCGGATTTGATCTTTGTCAGAGTTTGAGTGAGCTTGTTGCATATGGACTGCCAGATGTGCTGTGAGTGCCCGGACCAGAAGGGGGGAACAAATCGGACGAAGGCCAAGACCTCAAACGCAGAGGGATTGGAGTCCCCAAGGAATTTCACGAGTATGTAGAAACCCCTTCAAAAAAACTTAACCGCTAACACGTGGATCGATTGGTTTAAAAGTTGCCTGTACTCCGGAGCCTTTGAATCAGTATACGGTAACGTGCACATTTCAGATGGCATCGCTAGGATAATAGATCCACATACAGGACGAGAATCATCTCCCGGTAGAAGTAAGGCAGCTTTTTACCCCTGCTTGTTTAATCATTGACATTATGCGGACTACAGGATAGATCATCGATCAAGGAACATACCACCATTAATCGTCGATACAATAATCTTGCGTGTCTAGTCTCTCTTCATCAGCACCTTTCTCGAGAGACACTCTAAGCTTCTGCGTAGATGGGCTCTCTGTGGTATCTTCAGATACGACTGTGTAGTATGCCTGTCAGGATGATTTGGACGACGTGGCTGACAGCGAGCTCGAACCTTGCGTCCAGGATGGCACGCAATATTTGGTGGGTAGAAAGGCGTGAGAAAAAAACTTTCGAATACGCATGAAGTACGAACTACTCTTCCACCTCACTCCAGCCTTATAAAGTACGAGTTCCAACTAATTCGTGTTCTACGTCAAATAACCCTGTGTTCTTGAATCACATCCTCATGGTATTTATCGGCCTCCGCGAGTGGTCCATTCCTGCATGTTCCATTTCTCGTGCTACAAGTGCCCTAGCAGCAAGCGTATTCACCTTTCACCTTGCCTCAAAGAAGCAGGATAAATGTTCGTTGTACGCTGTTACTTTGACCTCGAATGGGTGTTACAGCGGAGACATGCGCCAAGGATCCTCAAAACCCATACGGTGCTCGAATTGCCAAGGAGGCACATAATTAGAAGGCAGTTTGACTTCCTACGGGGTATTAGGCGCGTTCCATCACCCTTTTTCAATGGGCTGATAGCTCATCCGTGGCTTCCTTGTACTAAGCTGTAGACTCTTTCTTAGAACCAGATATCCTTAATTTTGGAGAATCCATGATGCAAAACACGATGTTCGTTGCAGAGATTTTCTGGAGTGCCATGCGTGATTTATAGCACACGCTCAGAGAAGCAATCGGTACTTTATTTTGGACGACATGGGCATTGTTTTAATATATTGACTGATTTCTGCCAGATGAAGTGGGTGCTGAGTTGAGCACTCATGAAATGGCTGATGGCTGGATAAGATGTTCTGAGTCGGTCAATGTACTTTGAATACCATGGTCATCTACCTGTAAGTACACCGCGAAAAAATGCATAACACTGTTAATAACACATAGGCAGTGTACTTACGTAACATCTTCCGATTCATAAACCCATTTAGACTTTTATACTCGCGGCGCGGCGGCATGACTGATTAATGATGCATCAGGCTGGAACCAGGGACAGATGCACCCACACAGTGCATGGCAGTTCATGCCATCATGCTTGTGATTCATGAACCGGGTCGGGTTCAGTTCATTATTTACGGATCTCAGGGGATGGTGCCGAACTAGAAAGCATTTAGCAACCGGCATCGCTGAGCCTTTCCACGCTGCCCCACAAGCACCACTGACATGTCTGCTTCCCCAGACTATTACACAGAAGACAAGGAGAAAGCCTTTGGCTCGATTGAAGATGAACTTCATCGAGTTGCGTACGCTGAGGAAGCACCAGATCGTGTGATCGCAAGCCGTTTCGGTGTACTTGGCCCACTTCTTTCAAGACTCTTTGCCATTGGTGTCGAAGCTCGTGGGATAGAGCGTATACCGGAAGACCAGAGAGAGTCGAAAAATGCTTGGAACAAGTGCGTATGTTATGTTGCGCTCGTACCATGCCTGTCCTGAGCCCAATGCAGTCTTCTCATGTGGTGGTCAGTTCGATTTGATCCAACACATTGTTTTGTTCTTATGTTCCCCTCCCTCCATTTTTGCGTAGGTCCGTTAATGCAGTGTTGACTACCATTCCTATCGGGGCGCTCGGACAGTCCGCTTTCACTTTGAGTTTTGGGTATGTTCACTCACCACATCATGATGCCGCTTCTTACCCATGTTTATGCTCTCAAGCCATGCTGTAGCAACTATTTTCTGTTTTGGCGCTCTCGGCGGCATTGCAACAGCATTCATTGCTACCCTCGGCCCCATAACTGGTCTCCGCACCATGGTTATCACCCGTTTCAGTTCAGGATACGTTGGTGGCACCATTTATTCGGTCCTCAATATCCTCACTCAGTGCGGCGATTCTCGTTTACGTGCACATTATCTTACTGATCGTACCTAGGCTCGGCTTTTCTACAACAGCAGTCATTCTTGGAGGTCAGACGCTCGCCAATATCAATCCTGGCACCCTTCCGCTCGTCGTTGGCATCATCATCATTGGTGTGTGTTGCCTCATCCCGTGTTTTATCGGGTACGACATGGTACACGTCTACGAACGCTACGCATGGATAATCGCCAGTGTCATAATGCTTTTCCTCTGGGGTCTTGGTGGCAAAGCCGGATATGACATAAACGCGCAGAAATCTGTCGAAGACACAGGGCGTGCTCTCCCAGCAGATATTCTCAGCTTTGGAGGAATCGTATTCGGCTCATTTTCAGGGGTGAGTCCACCCATCATCTCTCTCATATCACAACAGGGGCTAAATACTGCAAACCTTTATCCACCAGTGGGCTCCAGTCGCTGCAGATTATAATTGCCGGCTACCAGCTGATACGCCACCTATGCGCGTGTTCCTGCTTACATTCTTCGGCCTGTTCATCCCTATCTGCTTTGTCCAGATCCTTGGCGCAGCCCTTATGACAATCACAGATCCGGCATACATCTTAGCATACGCAGACGGTTCGACAGGTGGCCTAATTGCGCAAGTTTCTCCCCTTGGGGTCACTTTGGCCAATTCGTCCTTGTCCTTCTCGCACTTTCTGTCGTGTAAGAATGGTTCAACATCTTCTTGTATATACTAATTCAAGGATAGCGCCAATAATATCCCAAATACCTACTCCACTGGCCTGTCAATACAAGCCCTTGGACGCCCATTCGCCATCATCCCGCGCTTCTTCTGGGTTTTCATCGCTTTCGTCGCATATACCGTAGCAGGGGTCGTAGGCCGCGAACACTTCAACGCCATCCTTTCTAATTTCCTCAGTATTCTCAGTTACTGGACGGCTTTCTTCATCGTGATCGTAGCCGAGGAGCACTTTATCTTCAGACGGAAGAACGGACCGCTTGGAGGTTACAATTTGGATGATTACGATACGCCGTCAAAGTGAGTCTACTGGTTTTGGGTGAAGATGTCATTGACCCTGTTATATCTTCAAGGCTGCCACTAGGCATAGCAGGTATACTCGCAATGTGCTTTGGAATCGCAGGTGCTGTCGTTGGGATGTCAGAGGTATGTCATTTCCCTGCCCTAGCCTCGTACACTGATATATCTCCTCGTTCGTAGGTATGGTATACGGGACCGCTTGGGAAGATGGCAGGAGCGGCGTACGGCGCTGATCTTGGGTTCGAGGTATGATTGATTCTTTCCCTGATTGAACACGCGCTCACAAAGTTTGCATATAGCTCGCAGCTGCTTTCTCAGCTGTTTCTTATCTTCCGCTGCGTGCACTTGAGATTAAGCTCATTGGACGATAAGGGAGATCCGCTGTACTAAACTGGTGTCAAGGTTGTAAGTTAATAATCATGGATCGTAGGAAGACGGGCTGGGTAGATTACATACCCTGTAGTGTTTGATTTCGATTGAAATCACAGGTGCTTGTAATGGTATTATATATGTTGTGCTGGACGCTCTATAATTCTGGAGTTTCTTTTGTAACAGTGCCTTCTGCTTCCCGAGTCTCATAGGTTGACGTCCTGTAAGGTCTAATGGAGACTATGGGACCAATATCACCTCCTTCCATCTCTCGTCATCTGATTCCTGTCTAACGAACTTTGTCCTCCGGTTAGGCATAACTCCAAGTTCGATATAGTCAACTTCAATGGGATCGATCAGAAGTAATGCAAAGTTTCCGCGGGCTTCCTCGTAATTCTTAGCGTCATACCCTTCCTCTCCGGGTTTCGCAACTGTGACAGGCCACTTTTCAGCATCGCTATAAGAGTCCATGGGGGAACCCGGAATAGGTCGGCACCAGGATGCGCGCATGTGCGCACCGACACTATCAAATTGCCTCCGTCGCTCGTCCTCCCAGTCCCACCCCTGACTCCGGAATGCATCATACACCTCTCCCACACCCTCGATTCCTTTGTTCTCCTGAAGTTCGGGTGAGGGGTAGATAGCCGCATGTCCAGAGACGCGGAATTGCTCGTTCGTGGCTTTGATCCAGAAATGTGCTTCTACGCGATGGCTGGGGTTGGATTTGATCTGAGCAACCTTTGGAGTACGGATGTCTGTGGTTGTGAGGAGTAGGGGTAGAGAAGGCAGGGATGGATGGATGATGTGGCCCCTGAGGACATGGCAACGAACGTGTGGAGTAGCGTTGTTGAAGTCGGTGGTTGCGAGCTGAAAGACTGATCCGAACGATGATGTTGGTCCGACTCTCGTGGGGTGTGGTTGGGAGCTCACCATCTTTCATGCCTTCTTCGTTTCGCAGAGCGAGCTTGAGAGCGTTGTGCCAGCGTGCGCTGCGAGTAGCCATGATAAAACAAGTGATTTGACTGTACTTAGTGACCGTGACGGTAATAGGGATGAAGATATTGCACTCAAGTAACACTGAAGTCCAGCTAGGCAAACAATAAATTCATATATGCTATGTGAAAACCACTACCAAATACACTCCGACTGGATTCGGTAGACGCCTAACCCTTCACATAGGCTTGCTAGGGAGCTGGGTTAACAGGACGCCATAGCGCTTTTTAAGAGTAACGCGGTGTCTCGAGAATTTATCATCGGGCGAGAAACGTGCTGTATAGACAGAATATTATCAGTATACCAATCGATGCACATTCTTGAGCCAGAAAAAATGGCATCAGGGGAGACGAACCTGGGTGTGCAGACTTGGTGATTCGGCCTGTATCTGTTGCTTTCTGAAACAGCGAGTCAGACAAGAGCTACTCCATGACAGCAAAGGTGCTCACATTCAGAGTGTATATCCTGTTCCCACTCTCGTCTAGCGTATACATAAGATGCATGATGACTTGTGAACGGGAGTTTGTTGAACTTGGGATGATGAGCACAAAACAAAATAATTTCTAGTGTTCTCACGCTGCCAGAAATGAGTATCGTTACAGCAGAGGTCCTGCCAAAACTTTCTCTGGTCACGGTATAGACCTCAGTAAACCATACTCTCTTGACTTTTCCTACATCGATGCTTCATTACACTGTGATGTGCAGTACGCACGCAATAGCATGTGCCTATGAACCAATAGGAATCAATATTTGTGTGGCTCAGCGAATGGTTAGCGCTTCAAATTGAAGTCAGCGTGTTGCGTGTTGGCCATCATGCATCATACCTCGAACGTTCTTCGGAGTTCTGCCAAAGGACCATCGATGAGTCACCCATTCCCTTTTCACATTACTTCTCAGTGTACCTCACCGTTTCTCTCACACTGATCCACTTGCGATGAGTGAAGACCTTACTCTTAGGCTAAATACCATTGATCCTCCTCCAGATCCAGCCGGGGAAATGTTGCTGAAAGCTCAGTATGTGGTTCCTTGAAATCCGTCGCTTCCCTTTTGCATTATTCGTCCAGCAACCCCGTAGAGGATTCTGTCAGTCCCTGCAGAAATTGAAGAATGGGTTAACCAAAAACTTCCTGTGCGTAAACGTGAAGGTTGGTTGTTCTGAATACAGCTGAGTCTGTACAGAAGCGCCCTAAGCGAACACGCAGCCGCCGGTCCAGAACGTTGACATTGAAGGGGCTCCACTGAGTCAGAAGTTGAGGTAAGTGCTCGAACTTGCTATCCTAGTCCTTCGGTTTTCTTAGAGGCCCCTCTATCCTTCCAACGACTACAAGCATCTCACCATATCTCAGATTCTCAGCGACTCCGTGAACCAGGGCTGTCTAGAGAGCCTGCTTCACAGGTATTTTCGTCCAATACTTTGACCCTCTTCTCTAATTTTGGCGATCCCACTGGTTCAGGCTACTCCTTCCGGCGAGGAGGAAGGACCTGATCTTCAATTAGTTAATGTTGAACTTCAGGGTGCTTGTGATGGTATACAAAGCATGGAATTACTCGGGAAACATGCGGCTTCTATGAAATCCGCCACCGGCAATGCCTCAGCGAGTCTTGCTGTCGCAGGTGATTTTGAGGCGGCTGTATCTCCAACTCCTAAAGATGATCGGTAGTGTCCTTGAGAATTGCGGATGTATGGATGATTCTTCTTGATTGGAACTGAACTGATCAAATTGTATAGGTACATCCATACGCAAAGATGGCACTGGGTATGCTATCTGCTGCATCCAAAGTATGTTTGGTTTCTCCCGCAGTCCATTTTCATACTCAAAAGTTCCAATTCCATGCAGATTATGATTGCTCAAGCAGAGCGCGACATTTTGATTTTTAATCTTCTCAAGAAATTGGCTGAAGTTCACTGCTTCATGACTCAAGATGACTGTCTTGACGAAATTGAATCGATGCGCGGAATCGTTGAAAAGATCGTTCAGCAGACTCACGAGTGTGCCCATTTCATCAGGGACTACTCGGAGACAAAGAACTTTCGTGAGTTACTAAGCTATCACCCTCTGTACATGAATATTGTGATAAGCAAGAGACTTGTAAAAAAGTTCTCTCGGAAACTGATGACATCATCAAACAGCACAGCGACACTTTGGACGGCGTTGTGCAACAATTTCGGGACCAAGTTGGTCGAGACGCGACCATTTTTGTGCGGGTAAGATTATGATACATCTCTGTCTTTACATTCACTCACACCGTTCCAGGAAATACCCTGGATCTCGGGGATCTCGCTTATGCAAAGGGCGCAGAATCAAATACCATGCAACAGTGCCTACCAGGGACGCGCACGGAGATTCTTGTCTAGATTACGGACTAGATCAACGGCAGTGGAGTGCTGCTAAACATGTGGTGCGACTATCTGGCCAGCAGGCACGGGCAAATCAGCCATCGCTCAACCGATTGCCAAGGGTTCGGTGACATGGGAGTGCTCGATTCATGTTTCTGCTTTGACAAGGCCGAGAAACGTCATGAAAAAGCTTTCTCCACCATCGTTCATGACCTAGCTGATCGTGATGCGGAGATGAGAAGAGCATGGGCGGATGCGCTCAAAATTTCCATTTCACTGAAGAACTCGAAGGATATTTCCCAGCAGTGGGAGAAACTTCTTATGAAACTATTGAAGAAATTCCCTACGTGAAGTGTGGGACCTGTCTTGATTGTGATCGAAACGCTGGACGAAAGCGGCGGAGTGGAGACGCGGCGGGACCTTCTCCGCATACTTGCCAACACACTTCAGAACAAAGGTCTTCCCCAAGTCACAGAACTCCCATCCAACTTTCGGATATTCGCTTTACCTCTCGTCCACTTCATGATATCGAAGATTCATTTCACGGCACTCAGCATATTCTATGGTTATCCATGGATGAGATTCCAGCAACAGCGCTGCGGAGCACGACATCCACACATTCGTATCTGAGGAGCTCAAGGGGCTATCGGATCTTGGCGACAAAGAGTTTGCAAATCTTGCTGCGAAAGCTGATGGACTTTTTGAGTGGGCACGTCTCGCCTGTGAATACATTAAAGATACGCCTCCAGGTGTACGCCACATGCCTCGCTTCAATACACTCGTAAATCGCTGTGCCAGAAAGCGGAAAAACCTGTTGCACGATATGTATTGAGACAAGGGTAGGCGTCGACAACGTTCATTGTGGTCTTTTTAAGACAGGTAAAGCGGATAGCATTGAGGGTGCGTATGTCGTACATAAGAGTGAGTGAGTTTGTCAGAGATGTGGGAGATGATTTGATATGAGTGTGCGATCCAGGATGACAGTGAAATTCAAAAACTAAAGTCCAACCAAGTCCAACACATACATAGACCCATTGGATGGCGTTCCGCCGAAGAAATCTCGATCGCTCGAAGATTTTTGCCACCCGCATCCACTGGTGGGTGTAGAAAGTGAAATATTGGTGGTGACGGTCCAGCACACTGGCACCGGTAGGGACCATTGGTTCGGAAATAACAATGGTTGGTCCTAAGTGGTCCTAAGTTCTCTAGCATATGTAGTCGTTGGTTCTGTATAATGTGGTGGGAAGAAATTGAATGCTTGGTGCAGCCTGAGCGTGTTTGGTCCGACCTACATACCTCTGCTTTTTTCATTGATTCCATCACTGCACAACTTATTAGACGCGTGCACTCAAGCCTATCCGCCGCGGCGCGCCCGTGACACTGACAGTTATGTAAATAAGAATGCTACTAACACAGCCTATCCGAGTCTGAGATGGACTGCCGCATGTTATGCATCTGAGCCTAACCCTGCAGTCCGCACTTATGATTCCTTCAAATTCAAAGGCACAACCCAGTCAGGTGGGGACCTCGTTTTTATGTTAGCTTGTTCCTCACCGTGGCATCCAAGCAATTCCCGGGTAATCCTGAAGGGTTCACACTATCACCTAGTGATGTTCCAACCAGTGGTACTATTGCAACTCGCCGTCTGGTCTCCACGCATACTAGTTTGGCCCTTGCTGGAATTATTGGAGGGATTTCTCTTGGAATTTTGGCTGTCTGGCTATTGGTCGCCCGCACACGCAAACTCAAAGAGAATGCCGCTTCTGCTGGAACCTCTGAATCCTCACCTCTCCTAGTTCAATATCAAGCACCACTTAATCTTCAGGTGGGGAGCTCGATGAAATTTCCGCATACCCAGCGCAGTGCACTGATTAAAGAGGATGAATAGACTTATACTGCCAAGTTAGAAAATGACATATTACTTTGTTCCACCTGTGCAAAGCTGGATTTTTACAGGATCCTCCTTTATGGCATCCACGAGCTGGAGCCGATACCACTCGGCTCACTGTCATCTATTTTCGAAAGATCTTACCAGTGCAGTTTCTGCCGCCTCATCTCACTATATGTCCGTCGAACACGAATTATGGAGGACTTTCCTCACATCGATCTCTCAGAGATTGAATGTGGGGTCCACACGACGCTTTGCGGTGCTCTTCGGAGGGGACCTCATCCCCCACTCCGTTATGGCCGCCGCCTCTACATCACCGGGAACGGCCTTTGGCAGACGCATCCCGCTTTCAGGGCACTGGGTCCACTATTAATCCATCTCATGCAAGAAGATGCTTCCAAGTTTGGGAGACCGGTCGATCTTCATGGTCGCAGGGTGAAAAACACGGTGGATGTCGGTCTGGTGAAGAAATGGATTAAGTTGTGTGAGGAAAACCATGGAGATAAATGTCGGAATGTTTGGAGAATGGACAGGAACATGCCGGAGTTCGTGAGAGTGGTGGACGTAGTATCGATGGCCGTGATCCCTGCACCTTCTCACCGCTTTCGTCACGTCGCCCTCAGTTATGTATGGGGAGGCAACGGTGCAGAGTATTGGACGACGAAGGATAATATAGCAAAGCGCTCCATACCTGGCGGATTGAATGCGGCAAACCTCCCTGATACCATTACAGACTCGATTTCATTCGTGCGACAACTTGGTGAACGTTACATATGGATCGACGCTCTGTGCATCATTCAAGATGATTTGCAGGATAAGATCAGTCAGCTGCACGCTATGGATTCGGTCTATGGCCTGTCTTATTTCACGTTAATTGCTGCTGGCGGAAAAACAGCCCGAGACCCTCTCCCAGGGTGCCGTCCACGAACTAGAACGCCACAAATACATATCGAAGTTGTCCAAGGACTTCATCTCTTTGTGACTCCTCCAACACACGAGAAGGCTCTCGGAATGTCCGCTTGGATTACGCGTTGTTGGACCTATCAAGAGAGCGCGCTGTCCTGCCGAAGGATATACTTCACTGGGCAGGAGGTCTACTTTGAGTGCCGATGTCAGGTTTTCTGTGAAAGCATCGTCGCGGAAAGTAAGGCCGACTTCTGCCGCAGCTTTCTTCGGCATTCACGGGAAGAATATTTCCCTTTCTCAACTGACTCCTTCTGGAGTTACAAGTATGCCGTTGAGAGGTGCACACGACGTAATCTCACCGTCGAATCAGACATCGTCGATGCTCTCACTGGAGTGACAAATGCATTGGTGGTAGCATTTAGACTCGGTGACCCCGCTAGAGCTTTTCAATATGGAATGATGTTGACGGAACTGCATCAGGCGCTTCTCTGGCAACATGATCCACTTACACCTCGTACTCGTCGTTCGCTTGCTGAAGGAAGCAACTCATCTTGGCCTTCTTGGGCATGGGCGACATGGTGTGGTGCTGTTGTCTACATGTCACGGAGTGTGTATAGGCAGACTAGGGTTACTGGTTATAGCAGCGAAGTGTCGGTGGATGAGACGCTTGTTGATGCTTGGTACATCGTGGACCATGGTGGCGGTATAGTGCCCCTCGATGTTCAGAAGGTGTCACGCGTTTATTGGATAGAGGAAGAGCAGCCCCCGTATTCCTCTCCGGGAAGGACCTTGGACCCAACAGCGATGCCACTGGACACTCATCGACCACTAAAACCAGGCACTCTCATTTTTTGCACGACTTCCAGCCACTTTGCCATTACAAGGCGAGGTGGTGAATCAAATGAAGAATCGAGCCCTGCCGACCACTATGGTCTCTTTAATATCCTCTCCGCCACGACTTCTCCCACTTGGGTTGGCACTGTCATCCTGCCATTGAACCCTGCCCCACCAAGTTCTATCGAGTTCATCGTGCTTTCCCGTTGTGATGGTGCGCACGGCTTCTACGATGAAGAGAGTATCAAGCCTTACCGTGGGTGCTTGCTACATGTGATGGGAGTAAGTGAGAATGAGGGCTTGATGGAACGTGTTGGATTGGGCATCATTCATATCGTTGCCTGGGTTGCTTCAACGCCGGAGGAGAAGATGGTGTTTCTCCGATAATGGCTGGCAGTGATGGTTTGAATTTAAGCTCGATTGTTCAAAGCAAGAATTTACTGTCCTTCAATTTTTGACTCGCTGGTATTAAACAGTTACTTATGACCTTATCTTGAGCGTTCCCGTGTTGGTCGCGATGCTACTGATCGGAACCAGTCTGTTACAGCACATCATAATGGCGCTTGCTCCTCGACGCCGTTTTGAATTGGCGCTCAGGATATGGGTCAGGATCTGTGGTCCAATTCATACGATCCGGGGCTAGTGCGGTCATTGGCATCCCAAAATGGCATGGCAATGGCGCTTGAGCACGGTGATACACCTGTGACTCCCACGTAAGCCCACTAATAAGAGGTGATAGACCCGGGCCTCCGCACCACTAAGCCGAGGGGTTGCAGTCTTTCCAGGCTAGGTTCAATAGTGGTGCGATATCTCTGCTCCGGACTTGTGAGAAAATCACTGATATAGTAAGCGCATGACAGCTCGGCAACATCCGCCGTGTCTATTAATAATGATACCGCCTGTCGGCAACAATAGCTCGGGTATCGAGCTCGCTGTGCCCGACGATGAGCAGCACGTTCTCACTCTTTTCTCGACCGTTTGACAGCGCGTTTTTTTTGATTGATCTGTGGTAGCTACTAGAACTGAATAGGATCATTTACATATAGATTAACTCATTCTAATAAGTGCGGGGAATGTCTAGACAGCATAACATAGAGCAAATGCTAACATACTTCCTAGTCCTCTTTGTCATTGTCAGTAGATTGGCTCACATCACTGTCTTCGATGATCTTGCAGCTCTTGGGCTGCCTTTGCAATGCACGCCTCTTCTCTCTGGACCGTTTGGTAAGAGGTTCATTCTCTTTGTCCCCTCTTGGTGCAGTCTTGCATTTGCATGATGTATCTGCATCTGAACATTTCTTACGAGGTTTCCCGATGACTTCACCTTCAACCTGCCACCTTTCTACATCCGCCTTGTATTTTTCGAGCTCAGACCGCGACATTGTCCTCCATGCACAGGTCCCTCCTTTTAGCGCATCATGGAGTGCTCACATGTCAGGAGATGGTGTGGATATTCCATGGGGATGTGAATGGGATAGTCGTCGGCCAGCCTTCCAAGATGATGCCAGTAGGACAACACTATAGCCTTGGTATAGTTAGGGTAATTCATAGTGATGTTGGTCTTGTTCGTCACCCATCCTGTTCCTAAGAGTAAACCATGGAAAAGCCAGACAAGGTAGGGTACATACGAAGACCAGTGAGAATAAGTCTTGCAGCTTGTTTTTGCATGCTCTCGAGACTATTGTGTTCCACAATATCTTGGAATCAAACATCAGTATAGTATTATGTAGAACGAGATTTTCAGTACTTACTTTTGCCCTGACTGCAAGCCCACTGCTCAAATTTGCACACAACATTGTCCAGCACGAGATTCAGCGCATCTTCCCAAAAGTCCGAAGCATTGTCAGTTGTATACCATGTGGCGGGTGTCTGGTTGTTCACATGCCCGCCTGCAATCACGAATGTTGTGTACGTCCCACAGCAATCGCACAATCCATTGAGCTGGGAGTCATGAGTGAGCATGGACATCACCAGACAAATGACACACCTACCTCCTGCTTAATTTTCTCTGTAGTTGCTACTACATCTCGCGCTGGCCGCAATGTTGTTTGCACGCGAGCCACTCGTTTTGAGCGCCCTGTGTTCCATAAGCTCAGCTATAAAGACTTTTTTCTCCTTGTGTGACAATGCATGTGGGTGCAACATTGGGTCTTCTTCGACAAGTTTTGCGGACTTCCTTCATGGTGTACTTGCTTCCAGTTGGTAGGTCTGTGAGATAAAGTGACAGTGAGAATATGAAAAAAAACTGGAATGAACATAACAGAAACAAACCTGCATTAAGTTCCTTTGCCTTGGCATGAACAAGCGCATTCATGAGTTGAGGTGCTTGCGATTTCTTGTAGTGAGTGTGGAAGTTCAACAGGCTCTTGACATGGTCCTGGGTGACGTTGTGCAACCTTGCGATCTCTCCGACCTTCTTTGATTGCTCAATGATGAAGTCGGTGATTGCATCATGGAGGGCCTTCTCATTTTGCTTGCCTTGAGTTGCCTTGAGAGCACGTGAAGCCTTTTCTGCGTCTGTCAGCAGGACACCCTTGGCTCGTGTGGGTATAACTGGCTGGCCAGGATTGCGTGCTGACCAGCATGAATTATTGCCTTTGTCATTGAGGCGAGCCTCCAGTGAGTTGTGAGAGTTAGAGTCGTCATCCGGAGAAGGTAAACGTGGGATGTTGCTTGCAGGGATGTGTGATTCATCATCCAGAGAAGGTAGACGTGGAACAATTGAGAATGTCCCGGACTCGGCAGTATCTTCATTGTTGTGCAAGGATTGGTCGAAGGAAAATGTTTCGAAGTCGGTGGTATCTCCGAAACGGCTGGAAGAGTCAGTATTTCAGGGAAATATGCCCCTGGTGCTCATTCCAGACAGGAAATGTATCATTCTATGAAACGGCGGCACAATTGGGCTTTCATTCGGATTCATGAACACGGGGTACATTGACAGCTCAATATCTCCAAAAAAGAAGCGATGTGAGAGTGGAAACATCAAGGAAGAAATTTGCATACCTGAAGACGAAATGAGCACGTCTGGATCCATGGAGTCACTGCTGCAGGGCTGTCTATACATTGTGTATCTTGATTGTGATAGTGTCTGGTGAATCCTGCGGCGTGACACAATCACGGTAGTGTAGGGAAAACCATGTGTGTCACACTGATCAACAAACAACATGTGTTGCGCATCCTAGTCTACATTTCAGACCTAATTTATTTCCTGATATTTTCTTACCATTCTTTTGGTAAGTGTCATCTGCTCCAAGATCACATGCTACCGCGCAGCGATCAATTACAAGCCCCTATTTCTAACATAATAATACATAGTACTTATGGGGTAATCTGCAATTGAGCTGCTCAGCCTTCTCCCAGGTGCGCGCTCAGTCGTTGGCGTCCTATGGTAGGGTGGTATGGCCAGCACCTGAAGAAAAATTCACAGTCAACACCGACAATGCAAAGCCCAAATTTAAGAACTCACAGTTAACATCGACAATGCAAAGTCCAAACACGAATTGGAGAAGACTTGGGGTAAACCCACAGCCGACACTGACAATGCAAAGTCCAAACGCAAATTGGAGAAGACATGGGGTAAACCCACAGCCGACACCGACAATGCAAAGTCCAAAATCAAGGAGACACCGACAATGCAAAGTCCAAACGTGAGGACGACACTGGCAATGCAAAGTCCAAGCGCGATGGTGACACCTAAAAATTCAAGTCAGAACGTGGATTCAAGAAGGGTTGCCCCAAGCCTCCAACACTGAGAGCCTGGAGAACCACCTAACAAGGAGAGTTAGAAAGTATGACTTTAAGGAGGTACTTACTTGAGTTTTCCGGTTGCCAAATGCTTGCTTACAGTCGCAGAGGCCTCTGCGCAGCATAAAAGTGCGCACATATTTGAGCTGTTGACTGCAGGGGAGACGAAACAACAAAGTACCATGAGCACTTTTGCTTCTGAGTCTGGACTGACCTCGATCGGAACTTTCTGAGACACAATTCTCGACTGACTTTGATCCGAACTTTCCGAGACACAATTTCTTTGACAAACACTAGTAAGTACATCACCACGACATACCTTTCCCAATTAATTGATGCACATGAACTCTTGATAGTGGGTGGCATATAAGGTAAGTAACTACTGACAGCTACATAATCTTTAACTTGCTGACCAACACTTTCAACAGCAATCTCAGGGGGATGGACAAAAGGATGCGACAATGGGCAGCCACGGAACGATGGATGTCCGATTCTGCGTAAGTACTGAGCATTGACATCTTTGCTCTCACCATTCAGTTTTGCTTATCTTTTTATCTCTTTCAGTGTTCATTCAACTCAAAATGAGAAGGCACGTATTCGTATGGCAAAGTCAGTCTTTTCTTCAATATGTTTTACTTCTCATCTCTGACTGCATCATTCAACAGGATTCGCGCTGCGTATGTTCATTTGGTTATGAGTGACTGCAAAGCTGACACTCGTTTCAGCAGGAAGGCCACCCAGATCACACAGCCGTCAGGAGGTAAGGTAGTGCTTGCCTCTACATTATTAATCTCATTATATCTAGATGAACAACAGGATCCTTCGTCAGACAACGACACTACATATCTTCTGTGCACCACCGACATCAAAACCCCGACCATCCATGAACTGCAAGTCTCGATCTGCGAGTGGCAGTATGATTGGGGCCCTGCCAATATCTGGGAGAAAGTTTTCAATGAAAAACTTCGGCTGGCCCAAGACCAGGGCAACTGTGCAGTCAACCGTTTTTTTTAGCCAATGTGAGGAACACACCATGCTCGGATGAGCTCTACTCAGTGACTTAAAGCACATTGTGTATGGTCCGTGCAGTAATGGTAAACAGGCAAGGGATAGATGTATGCGAATGTATGATCAGGTTTTGATGGTGTTGTCAGAGGTCAAGTTTTTCGAGGTCAAACTTGACGAGTATGCTCCAGCTATTCCATTATCTAGGATATCTTCTGCACGATACTATGAACATGCTTAATATACGATTTATTTGACACACGCTATGAACATATTTAAGACAATTCATTTGGCTTTTGAAAATGTTCAGTGCACAATTCGCATGCGTGATGAGATCTATTGAGAGTGGACATATACATGGCGAACATGGCGAACATCATGGTGAACATGTTCACTATCACCACATAACACTCTCGGATTCAACTATGAGAAAGAATTATAGTCTAAAATTATGATAGAATAGCTAGGATTGCGTCCTCCGATATTGTGACTTACATCCGAGGCAGGAAAATGAATTGTGTAGTGAGCTTACTGCATATTCGTGTTCAATGGCCAATTTACATGACTCGTTCAAGTTGCCTCCAGTTCCAAATTCTTGGTAGTGCCACATACAAAATGTGCACCACACAAAATATCAGATTCTGTCCTGTAATGCGAGCACAATTACTTTATTACACGTATCCTATCATTTCATTCAAACTGAACTCATCACTCTGCATCAAACTGAAGAAGCCCTCCTTGAGAATACAATTTGGCGTGCTAGATACATTGTTATAGTAGTTAGGTACACTAAATCTAGCCGTTGCTCAGTTCTTGGGACAGATCATCAAAATAAGACCAGAGCTCATCAGAGCCGGAGGATGATGTGGTAAGTGTTGGACTAGATGGCATTTGGGAGGGACTGGAAGAGCAGAAAGGTCCTCCAACTGTAGGTACTGCACGTACAGCACCCTGACAGTAGTGCTTAGTGTACAAGGCCAGTGCATCAGGCCAGTGTTCACAACACATGTGAGTGGCACCCTTGATGCCATCAACACGAGCCTTCGCATCAAGCCTGAGGTTGCTGAGTTAAAAATATAGATAATCGAATGAGAAGAATGTACCAGTTGAAGAAGATGCCAACCTCTTGCCCTACAGTAACTACATAATATCCATGGATTTTCACTCCGCTTGGAGGATGAAGCTCATCTGGATGGGGGATGTATGAGTCGTATGGCACTGTATTGATGGGTGGGGTTGAATCAGCAGGTGAGTGTGTCAGAGGGGATCCAGAAGGTGATTCGAAGGGCTGGAAAGAATCAGCAGGAGTGATGGTAGACATTGGTGGTGTGGATGGCGGGGCTGGTCGTTGATCTTGAAAGTGACAGACTCCTCAATGGTCTTCTTGGTATATGTGACAGAGTCGAAACTGACGTCTGATTTCATTAGTGAGGATCAAAACAAACAAATATTGAAGCTTACCTGATATCTTCATGGCCCGCATGAAGTCCTCTAGACCCCCACTTTTCCTTGTATTTGTCGTTGACATTCGGGATGATGTCGATTTTCTGGAGCTCATTTTCACGCTGACAGAGAACAAGCTCAGAGGTCAGTAAACTTAATGTCACGTGCATCCATAAGCTCACCTGAATACATCTCGATGTTGATTGAAAAAATTCCCGCGTCCGCTCAATATCATGGCCATGTCGAAAGCTCGCAATCGAACAGGACTGTCTAGTCGAAAGGTTCGTCAGTTAAGCTCAAAGCGCGATCAGAGTGGTTACTGTGTGGCCACTAACACAGTGTATGGGCCTAGGGCTCTGTCTCAGCAAGCCACGAGCATACAGGTCCAGAGAAAAGAACGTCTGCAAGGTGCGTCACATGCTAATACCTTTATAGAATTGTTATTGACTTTACCTATTATTAGCGTTGACCACAGAACAACACGAGGCCTTAGAAGCCTTGATCAAGCGCCAAGATGACACAGATGATGTCATGTTCAAGGCTGGAGACATGTCGACTGATGTCAACAAGATCCTGCGAGAACAATGCGTCGACGTAGGAGTTGTCGAGGACCTCGCTCATGAGATCATGGGAGATTTCTGGAAACCATAAGTCTATCTAAACTTGTGTCAACTTCAAGTCCTCTTACCTGTGATGGGGCAACAGCATTACGTCAAGAAGCAACACATGACAGATCGACCATCGCACGCAGCGTGATTGAATACAGCGACGTGTGGACACATTCAATATCCAGCTGCCAGCTATCACAAGCACATTTCTGGAGTGGAGTCTGGACCGCAAACTAAGTGGTAAAAAGGGCTTCTTTGATCAAAGGTGTGTGCCGGAGGAGGCTAACTCAGGTCTCTGGACAGGTAAAGTCATTGACGTATTCTGTGAGTCGTACCCTCTCACGCTGTGAGATTGTTCCCTGACAGCATACTACATAATAGACACTAAGAACACAGCTCTCACAATCAGCGCAAAAGATGCATATATTGTGTCTGCCCTTGTCCGTCATGGCATGATCCCATGTTCACCCATTTCGCCATCTGTTGTCATCACCATTGATGCACTCGAGCTATATCATATTGCACATTTTCGAAGCCCTCACTTTTCCATGCAGGCATTCAGCAAGACACTTTGCGATCTACATGGGGTAAGTTACTCAATTTTGCAGTTTATTATCATGATTACGAATAAAACTTTCAAGGTCGAGTATCATCACTACCTTTCACGCCAACTCACAATCGCCTTCGACGTTTACATGCTAATTCGCAGTTCTGTAGATTCTCTGGTAGCCGAGGCCCTCAACCGGGATTCTCTGGATTGGCAGCTCAAACACGCCTGTCCCTCGTGTACCTATACTCTCAAGGACGAGGTACCTCTCATATTCACTCTGCTATTCGCTATGGATGGCAATGACTCCCTCCAGCGTATCCTTCATCAAACTCTTGGCATAGATGAGAACGATAGCGGGGAGTCGTCTGAACTTCCCACCACGCAGCATGTCCGAGGGGATCGTTATCTCTCGTGCGACTATGTTAATCAGTGGAGCAAAGTAGGCATTGAGGACTCAGAGGTATGTCTACTATTTCATTTAACAACAGGTTTTTTTTGACTCATTTGCAGGTTACGCTTGATTCAGACTCATCGGGAAACCCTTGCACAGAACAGTGGAACAACATGGACGAGGAGATGATGAAGAGGGCATGGGGGATATACATATGATGAAACAGGGATCTTCACTGCGGTGTGCCGACATGGATTTAGCCTCTTAATTGTTGATATGGTTCAGAGTGGGGAGTTGTACATCTGAGCTATTTTCATGTTGTCCGCTAACATTCATACCTATATCCCACAGGGCAAAATACCCACTAGCTGTCGTTGCGAAGTTGATGGATGTCTTTGGTGATGGCCTTGGCGGTGGATATGACATTGGGTGTCAGTTCAAGACAACACTGAATAACAGTCCTTTAGGTCCCCGCGCGCGTTCCCTCCATTATACATCCCTCGTTGGCGCATTCCACAGGCATGCTCATCGCTGACTGTGCCAGCTCAATCATCTCGCAAGATACATTCCAGGCTTGGGACTCGAAGACTTGGAAATGTGCGAGTGCACATTCTCAAAATCAAATTCTTTGGCACCTACAACGCATTACTCGAGTATTTTCCACCGTCAGCAGGCTATCACAAGCTACTTCAAGTACAACGATGATTATGAAGTATATGCAAATCTATGTACGTTCACTATGTTCGCATCAGTACCTTTTCTAAAGTCTTGATTTGCAGCCGATTTTTTTTACAACAACTACAAACAAGCTCTCAACATCATAGCCGACAGTTGCATCACACTCCCAAAATTAATGCACAATCTCAATATCACTCATGAGTCCATCTTCGAGGACTGGCTGACGGAGGAGAAGACTTACTTACAGAGTCTCCGCACCAAACCTGAGCATGAGATGTTGCAAATGGAGTATTGGCAAAAGCTTGTCAATCTAGTTGCAAGCAAGTGAGTATTTCGTCTGTCTATGTGAGGTATCTGACATTTGATCGTGTACAGGGAGGATCTTGATGCTACAAGCTCAGTATGGGCTGTGGCCACACCCGTGAGCCTCACATCCGACGAAAGTGCTACAAGACGAATCGAAACAGCTCAACGGCATGCCCTAGAGAACTATGAGAAGGACCTATGACTTGTGCAAGAACTTGAGCGTAAACTCAGCATCACTTGCCGCTGGACACCAGAGGATCCGGACTGGCAAAACACAGGGCGTCTAGTCGCCAATTGAAAGTACCAACGCGCACTCAACACGTTGGAAGGTCTGGTCGTTGTGCGCATATTTGAACTGACAAAGATGAACAGGTCTGGGACCAGTAAGCATTTCTTTCGACTACGTATTCTACTCAGCTGACAACATTCTATCTATAGGATATAAATTGCAAAAGCATATCGCAAAGGCTTTGCAAGCACGCTCTGCTGCCATCAAGACTGCCCTCGACTGGTCCAATATAGCAGCACGTGCATTGTCCCCTCCTTGCCGAACGCTCAAATGGGAGGAGGTAGTTGAGTATGCCTTTCTTGCCAACTTTGACCTTCTTCATGACTCGCGTGATGATGTCTCACACCGTCCCTGGGCAATGCCATCAGTACGTCAAGCAACCGACTTATATTTCAAGACATGCCGTGCAAGAGAAGAAATCATGCGGCTGAACATCGAAGTGCGATGTCTAGCTACATACTTGCATGACGAGGAGCATTACCTCCATGAGTGCCAATGTCAGGCAGAAGCTTCGCATCCAGTCCTTGCACACCAGATCAATCTCCGGCGCCAAGTTCGCAGTCGGTTCAACTCACACCATCTTCAGCGTCTGCAGGACATAGCCAACCTCCCAGAATTCTTGGGGACTATCTCTCCTGGTGTTTGTACCTTCAGCAACACCAGAGACAGCACCAGTACACCCTGTGTTACCATCCCCACACGCCTCATTCAGTCTCTCTCTAGTAGTGCCTCCTCCCCTAACCAGCCATCAGCCATCAGCCAGTTTATTGTTGCTCCAGAGGCCGAGGAAGACTATGAAGAGGAGGAGGAGGTCAGCAATATGGAGGAGGCATTAGAAGTATTTGACGAGGTGCTGCACATCGCTACAGACTGATAGGTACTACAGAGCAAGGTCATTATGTATAATAGCGCATGTATGTAGGGTATATTGACTACCCAATCCATCATTTACTAGTCTAGTAGCTACTGCAAATTGATCAAAAAAAAACGCGCCGTCAAACGGTCGAGAAAAGAGTGAGAACGTGCTGCTCATCGTCGGGCACAGCGAGCTCGATACCCGAGCTATTGTTGCCGACAGGCGGTATCATTATTAATAGACACGGCGGATGTTGCCGAGCTGTCATGCGCTTACTATATCAGTGATTTTCTCACAAGTCCGGAGCAGAGGTATTGCACCACTATTGAACCTAGCCTGGAAAGACTGCAACCCCCTCGGCTTAGTGGTGCGGAGGCCCGGGTCTATCACCTCTTATTAGTGGGCTTACGTGGGAGTCACAGGTGCGGTGATATCGGCTCCGAGCGGCTCGTTCCTCGGCTGGCCGACATGCTCACTGCGACAGAACCTAGTGCTTCACTTTTTCAACCAATGGCGAGTGCGTGCAACGTGTCAGTCGTTGAATCGGTGATGATGCAAGTGTCGAGCCGCGGAAAAAAACCAACACATTTTTTTGGTGATGGGAATTTTGTTGTGTTCGACAGTCTCCGAGTCCCAAGTACTATTGGTGGTATCGTTGGATTGTCGGGGAGGAGACCGGGGGTCTGCCATGTACTAGCTAGTATGTCTGCATCTACGTAAGTACATAACCGTAGATATCCTACAAGTATAACATCCTCTGTGAAATATGAGATAATAAGACTTAGTTGCATCGGGTTGACCGTTGTTATCATTACACTTCATGTTCTTCAGCTGGCAACTCGTGCCCTCTTTGTAGCACCGCCATCCTCCTCTTCCTCCTCTTCTTCGTCTCCTTCGCTGATTTCATCCGCATAACGTTTCAAGCCGCCAGCAGAAGTGGGAGGCTCGTCTTCGTCTTCCTCGAAATACTCGTCATCGTCCTCGGCGTCTTCATCGTCATCAGCAGTAGCAGCCGAGGCTGATGTGCCATTCTGGAGGGATTGCATGAGCCTCCTATGGAGAAAGGAAACGATATATACGTACCTCGCCAACTAGTAGCGCCGTCAAACTTGGTTTACTCTATACCAATAACTCAACATTCTTCAAGAGGCGACGGACCAGGAGTCAACATACCCTTGATGAGGCACCTCCTTTCTCTCCATCCTCCCCTTCATCTTCGTCTTCTTCAGCTCCGACTGGGTGGGGCGAGCCACCTTGCTCTTCTTCTGCGTCCTGTTTTCATAAAACGTTGACAGAGCAATTGAAAAGGAGGTAGACACAATTGTTGTGCGAAAACGAGAGCGAGTTTAGATGCACAAAATATAAGAAATATCAGAAAATAATATGCAGACCTCGACCTCATATTCATCGCTCTCCTCGCCTTCATCAACCTCCTCCGGCTCTTCTCCAGGGACTGTAGGCTCTAGCGTGGGGTCAGGGGACATTTTCGGGGCTGGGAAATGTATGACGCAGAGCCTTAAGGAATTGTGTTCGATGCTGGTTGAATTTTAACCAGCTGTGAACGGGGAAGCGAGAAAAAGATTAGCGCCATGGTGACATAGCGAAATGATGGTTCTCACCCCAGGGTAGGTAGCTGACGAACGTTTGGTCCTGTGCTCAACACGTCGCACGCTCAGAAAAGGTCGCCGTCCCAGGGGGATTGCTGTCTTTGGATGAGGCGGGAGGTCGTTGCGTGGGGGGTCGTTCACACCAGCTAAACTTATGAACCCTTATTTCTTCTTCTCAATCTTCAGGGTAAACATGGATTGCGTCCTCTCCCGACGGTACACCAAATTTACTCATACCATTCATGCTAATTAATACCTTGAAGATCTGATTTCTCTTGGTTCAATGCGCAACCTATACGAAGATACCCTGGTCCGCTCACTGACTTCAGAGAGTAGCTAATGGTGATCTTGTCAGCACCCCGCCGAATTCGGGGTATGATCGATCCTCTTCATTATCTGGCAGCCGATATGAAATTGATTTTCTATGGTTCGGCAAAAACATGGAAACTGATGCGAAACAACTCGCGGAAGTTGGTGTACACTTGACCGTGTATTGTCAAAGTGCAATCCGGGCGCTTCATGTTGACTTCCGTATAGGCCACCCGAGGCGAGTCCTATGAATGCAGTAAGTGAATAAGATCAACCTTGGATGATTTACTCGCCTCTGACGTCAGACACTTCGTCAGCAATCCAAGTTCTGTTAGGAGTAGATTGGTCACACTATCATGCAGGGGCCCCTATTGGCTCTCATTTAAGACAACCGTCTTCTGCAAAGTATTATTTATTCCTTCAACGTTCGAACGTTCAACACTCAAGCAAGCAACATGGTTATCAAGATCGTCCGATGGTGTGTCTTGAGTGCGTCGTTATTTCCCTACACGTCGTCAACTAGCTCATCTTCATCGCAGCGTTCACTCTCATCTTCGCAATCGTGGTGCTTGGTATAAGTGGACACCTCTTAGCCATTCGACACACACACTACTGGCACTTTGCTGCGCTTGCGGTCGCAGTCTCTTCCCTGACAATTCTGACATTCCCTGTTATGTGCGTTTTCTTCCCAATCGGCCGAACTAGCACTGATTTATTCGCAAAATTCAGTCTCCTGGTCAATACCTTACTAGGTAGTGAAGATCGCACTTCGACAGAACGCATCTTTGGCGAGGCTCTTTGGCTAAGTATGTACCTATTGACTCTCAATATCATTTTCAATGATTATTTACGATTCCAAAGGTATCATGTGGATTTTGTGGCTCGCAACTGGAGCTAACGCCACTCATGCGGCCCGCGTACACTTCTTCTCAGGTGGTTGTAGCTTCTGTAAGTACCATATTTCCAAAACGCGGTCGCTTTTCTGATCATGTCATCGTCGCCTTCGCTTCTTAGTCTCTGGCTTTTCCAATAAGATTTGCAATGAGTTCAGAGTCGTGGAAGCTTTCGCTTATATCAACTTCATCATCCGTGCGTCTTTTCCCTTTTTATTTTTCTGGTTTTTAAGGGACATTGTCAGTGCTTTGCTACACAATCGGGTTATTTGCGTATGAGTTCACGCGCGACCGGTCTCAGGTTGGCCATGTCCAAACCTCTGAGGTGCAAGCTCCCAACACGTCAGGTCAGTAGCAGCGAATTGCTACATCAAGCCATCCAACTGATTCTGCGCATGATCAACAGCTGCCTGAACGTGAATTGTCGAACGTCAACGTTTCAACCATTGTGTAGGAAATTGGCTTGCAACGTAGTTCCTATCTTTGTTCAGAAAATTAATACTTTAATTTTTGTATGCATAGTCACCGTTTACAGTGTTACGTAATTTCACTCGAGACAAGAATGTTCGATTTATTGTGCTCATCGGTTTGTGATGTGCATCGAGTGCCCACTCTACTTCCTCCGCCAGTCCGCAGCCCAGATCCACACTTGAATCACTGAAATTTGTTCTCGTTCTTCTCCAACTTCCGTGAGTGAGATATATCAGATCTTGAAGGTCTATTTGCTAAGTCACCAACTTCAGATTTGACTCATTGGTATTTCTTCTCAAGTTGCCAAATTTGACCGGTGACCCGAATTTCTCTCGTTTTGTCAGACAAACCGGGAACCCCCAGTACACTGGAATACTTGACTTGTCTGATTAAAGCTTTTCACCTCCGAATGCTCATCGCGATGATGCAATGCTAACGTTTTTCTGCTTCTAGCTCGCAGAACTGAGGGTCGCTGTATGCCGCTGATGACAAAGACAGCCTCGTGTTTGTCACGCTAGTCGAACAACGTCAAACCTATCAGCAACTAGGCTAGTTTAGCACTCACTTGAAGGCACATGCTAATCTGGCCAAGTCGTACGATTCTGAAGGCATTCTACGGGCAAGTCGGATCTCTCTGTGACGGATCACGGTGACCCGACTTTCTCCATGTTCGAGCCATTTCCGTTGCACGTTTTTGACGGATTGCTCCGTGATGACTCTTCTTTTAAACACGTTTGTGTTATCCAGCAGTCAGCTCCAGGCATTATTGTCTCGTCTTACACATCGATGGAACATCTGCGACTATCATGGAAGTATATGTGCACTGCGTTCGTATCCCGCCTGGGTTATTTTGAGCCATTGAGCTCTATTAGGGGCGTGTCAAGTCTTTTCTATGCTGAGCACTAAGCGCTGATTGGCCGAGTGGTTCCCCTTGTACAGCATGTCATAGCAACAAGTGTGTCGTAGCGTGACTGCTTTCGTATCGCTGCGTTATCAGCTACCATCGAGCTATTTGCTGCGTGGGTTGGTATCGGTGCTGCACAGTAACATACAGCTCAGATGGCATTCTAGTGCCAGGTCCGAGGGACTAAAATTGCAGTGACGCTTTTAGTAGTCTATCGCCGACGGCATGCGCAGCAGTTCATTAGTGTGATATAGAGAAATTTTCACATGAGCATGATCTACAAGTCTAGAATTCGCCATGAGTTAGATGCCTCGCGATGTTGTCGAGGAGTTTAATTCTTTTACGATATGATGATCAGTGTCCTGCGCCACACAGATCAAACCCTGCCTGCATGCGGGGTAAAGATGAGTTATCAGCTAGCCTTATTTCATGCAAGTACTGATCACGTACGTGGTAAACTGTTTCAGATGGGTCTTGTGATTTGTGTAGCAAGAGCTGTGGGTCTCGCACAGGAATAACAACTTAAGCCCAAGCACCACGAGAGAATATGCCCGATGTGAACATGACACTAATTTGTCATGTTACAGTTCGGTCTCATCTGAGCGAGTGAGCTGGAAGGAGCGCTCGCAAACATCCGTGATTCTGTGATCACCAAGGTGATTCTGGTATCGGTTCTCAGCTACTGCCACTAGTTCGGATGGGCCTGGAGACGAGTGTGGTTCACTTCCATGGGCGGTCCCGTTCTGGTGTTGTGCTTGCTTTGATACTTGATATAATTAAGGAAGGGTTCTAGGGAAGCAATATAAAATAGAATAAGAATAAATGGAAGAAACGGAGAAGGGAGACAAAACGGAGAGATGTTTTTGAGTTACGGCAAGCATTAATTGTGACCAAGCAAGGACAGACAACGACTTGAACAGCCTTTCAACCAAGCGAACTAACTCCTGCAGCAGCAAATCCTTTTTTACTCAAAGTCAATCATACTCATTGACTCAGTCTTTCGTTAATACTTTATAATCCTGCTTTTCTTATACTCTCACAAGTGCTGCTATTTTGCGTTTGGCAGTTTGCGGTTCAATATACCGTGTCGCTGCACAGCTAGCCTCGAGGCAGAAATCTGAACTCAGTTTGTTCATATCTGGCAGCTTTTCAACCGTAACCTTGATCAAGGTCCCGCAGTATTAACTGCCAGTAATCTCTGTCAAGTCAGTACCCAAATCATTGATTGTCAGTACTTTGGCCTCACAGAACGGCATCGTTGACCGTAACGCATCTTTTCATTTCCCCCGTGGTCTCCTCGTGGCCTTTCACGCCAACGCCGCGCGACGATTACCCATAATATCTCCCGCCCTAATTAATCCATCTCTCAACTGTCACAGAATTCAATTCCCTTTGTCGTCTGCTCTTCTCTCTCTTGCACCTTCACTCCCACATACACCCTGTTCACCGGAAGTCACATACCCAACCCACAGCCTCCCATTCCGATTCACGTAGGACTTTAGAGAGACGGCTTGCCTATCCCTTTTCTCGTAAACCTCGCCAGTTTTTATTCCCGCGGATGCCTGGTGTAGCCGCCACCTTTCATCAGCGCGGTGCTTCAAAGAAAAACTTCAAATCTGTCCTTGGCTTCGGGTCGTTCAACCGAAGCCGTTCTTCCGTCGACTCTTACCTTCCCCGTCAACCTACAAGTAGGGTCAGCATCGATACCACGAGAAGTTTTCAATACAAGCGCAAATCCCGCCAAGAACGTGCAAGTGCAACCGACGCCTCCTCTGATTCACTCTCAAGTTCCCCCCACGCACATCAGGAGCATAGTCAGAACCATAAACACGACCCCAATAACACCGTCCGCAGTATGAAGTCCATAGACGCCGCTCATACCCGTCCTCTTAGAAGACCACCGGTTAGGATCGATGCTCAGGAAGGTCCCTGGAGCGTCAGCGTCGCTGAGACTCCACATGATGTACACTCGTATAGCATTTACATAAAGAGTGAGTCTCACATTTTCGCTCCACTCTTTCTCCACCATGTTGGTCAGAACGAATTCGTTCATTACCTACGCATTTGGATTTTCGTCTGGCTTTCCGAGGTAGCCGGGTTGCCATTCTGTGAGCACTTGACAGTGCCATGTGATTGCCGTCCAGTGTTCTATGTCCTAAGGCCCCGTTAACTCCTACCACATGTCTTTAACAAACGAACCTGCTAATGATATTCTTTCTTCCGCAGCCTCCACGCACAACCTCACCCTGACCCGCACTGCCACAGAGGTCATCGAGTTGCACGGCAAGCTTGCAGACTCCGTCCCAGGCACCAGACTTCCCAGGTTGCCCATAGACTTGGCGGCTCAACCCATCAAGCGGAATATCTTCCTCAACACGCTATCCCGCCTTGCCTCACCAAGCAACAAAGTAGCGCGCACGGTATCTACACGCATCGCCAGCGCTAGTTCCATCACTCCCATTGTTTCACCTACACACGAGATCGGCGACCCTTTTACAGAGACGGGTGCCACAGGTTCAGGAGGCAACGTAGTGACGAGCCTTGCTGCATATCTCACCACCATCTCCAATGAGCCAACGTTCCGACAGACACGCGCATGGAAGCGTTTTGTACGTGTGCGCACCGATGACCTCGAGAGCGTGCGTGTAGAGCGCGCGATCAAGCGTGTGCGCTCTGATCTGGCAGCGCATGGTAGCTCCAATGTTACCACAAACGTCAGCTCGGGCAATGTCAGTGAAATCGAGGTGGATGATACCAATGGTGCTACGAGCGAAGTCAATCTGAACGATTTTGCTGCCGGTGACTTAAGGGAGGAGGGGATCAAAGAGGAAGAAGAGGATGTAGAGTCTATTCCTGTTCAGGTGGAGGCTCTAGCTCCTGTTGCGGATGAGGCTCCTCTTACTGAAGCGCCTGAGGACATTGTCGTTGTGGATGAAGCAGTTCCTACACCCATCGAGGCAGAACTTGCAGTTCCCAACGCAGTCGATGGGGAAGAGACAGCTGTGTCTACGCCTGTCGCAGAGGTCCAAGCTTCCCGGATACTTCGTTCCCACTCTGCCGATCCCGATAAAGCTAGTCGTTTGTCGCGAGTATACACCTCCTCGACATTGCAGGAAGGTACAAGTTCCCAAACGGGCGATGACTCTTCGATCAGCACCAACACTGGGGGACGTAAGAATCGTACCAAGTCGACTGACCCGAACAAGGAACTCAAGAAGCGCTCAAAACGCAAGGTCGTCATCGATGACTTTGAGATGATGCGTGTCCTTGGAAAGGGGTGTGCTGGCAAGGTCTTACTTGTGAAACACAAGACGAGCTCGGATCTGTATGCCCTGAAGGCGATCACGAAGCGTCATGTACTGGCACATCAGGAACTGCAGCACACGTTGACCGAACAAGCTGTGCTCAAACGGATGGCAGCAGAGTCGAAAGACCCATTCGTTGTCAAGCTCTGGTGGAGTTTTCATGATAAGGAGAATCTATTTTTAGTCATGGTATGCTTCTTCATAGAAGTGCACAACACGCACATTAATGGCGTTTTCTCCTAGGACTTCCATCCAGGCGGTGACCTTGCCACGCAGCTTGCACGTTGGGGTAGGCTAGGTCGGGACCGTGCCCGGTTTTATGCCGCGGAGATAGTCGAGGGTGTCGAGGGCCTGCATGCAGCCGGCGTCATCTACCGTGACCTGAAACCTGAAAACATCCTGATTGGTGCAGATGGGCACATCGTACTGACAGACTTTGGCCTCTCAAAAGAGTTCCCACGCCGTGTAGCTGCAACGACCGCGCCTCCTACTCCCACACGAGGCGAGTTCTATTCAGCTCCGGGCAGTGAGCCTGCGACGCCGCCCTGGATGAAGGGCGAAAAGAGTCAAGACGTTGTAATGGGATGGCATGGACAGACTGTTGGCCCTATGGATGCGACGACGACTTTCTGTGGCACAGCAGAGTATTTGGCTCCAGAGGTGATCCAAGGACTG